GCATTATACCACTACACGGGGACTACAAATGCATTCAGACACTTTGCGATTCAGTGGATAAAATTAGCAATTTAGTTTGACCCTTAGGGTTGAGAGTCAGTAACACCTGACTCTGTGGCCTCTTAGCATTGCTTTGGCGAAAAGCAGGCACTTTGTAGACCTGCAAAAGTTAGGTGTTAGTTACTTATTTGGGGAATCAGGTACACGGGTAAAATACTCACCAGTAGGAATTAATGCTGTATTTAAACCCAATACAGGGATCAATTCATGTCTACTAGTGCTTGTGATTTAACACCGGAGGGTGATTTTGGCCACTATTTATCCTCTCTTGACAGTTTGCTTCACATTCACTAGGAACTCTATGTCTAAAGTTTGTCTACGAATTCAACACAAGTGTGAAAGTTCACCGTGTAGTCTAAATTGCCACCCTAGTTCTGTATTCGAAGTACTAAAAAATTAGAAATTAAAGGAGAAAAAACCGTTTGCTTGACTTGGACTGACTATACATGTTTGGTACCAGCTTAGCATGACCTATGCCGAGAATGTTTCCTTTGGTGACAAAATGACCCAGAAATTCGAAGTTAGTAAGGTGAGAGTTGTTGAAGAAGTTGCAAGACTTCCCCCAGGAAGATCGAGTTGGAAAACCGCAGCTTGGCTCCGTACTTGCATTAATTAGAGAAAGAAAAGTTTGGTATTCCAATCGTCAATCACATCGCACGGTCAAATATTTGAACGTCGGTGGTTGGAATTTGGGCGGTGTTTTCTCACTCATAAAATACCCAGTGCTATGAAATTGATTAAAGGAACCTGAAATTCGGAAAAAACGGTTGACATTTGAAGTGCAGCAATATTTATAAAAAAAACCTGCGCGTTTGAAACTTTTTGGTATTTTCTGAGTTGGTGTTCGTAGCCATAGTGGTAGCCTCTTGATTTAATCGCCTCGACGTTACTCATTCGACCAAGGCTTTTCTGTTGTTGGATTTTAACCATGTTATAGTTTAAGTTTCAAATCACAATTAATGCTCCATAATAAACCCTCTAAAGCAATATTTTTGTCTTGATTGAAAATTAGCCACACCACAATGCTTAACGGGCCTGCGTGTGGTTTAAAAATTATTTAAAACGACATTCACGAAAATTCTATTGCTGTATTTGGTCCTTGTGAACTTGTTATTCTTTCCTTACGCTAGAGCTTTAACGGGAAAAGGATGCTATCCAAAACATCCGAATAACACTATGGGTTTGGTATGGCCAGCAGGGAATGAAATTATACACCGAGGTCATGTGCCAGGTCCTATACTTCAGTGTACATAATAATATTAATAATCGGAACACCGCGAATTCAAATGCGACAACGCTTCTGCAGTGTGCACCTACGAGTCCTTGGTGGAATGAAATAGCATCGTAAATCACAAACAGACAAAATCACCATCTTTGAAATTTATGGACTTTTGCTTCCTTAGCATCCATTAGTTTTTGTGCTACAATCACTAATTAGTTTGTGTGCAATTTTTATCGGGAAAAAAGTCGTTATTGTGTATTCATTCAATGCTGTCGAGAGTTAGGCAGAGTTGTCTCCAGGTGTCATTACGTGTACGATTTTGTGGCTGTGCTTGGTGTTTCTTTGCCTAGTCGATCAGATAAAGTGAGAAGTGGGAGGTCCTGCTAGTGGCCAACTACTTTGGCAGGACTACAAAAACGCAAGAAACAGCAACGTCTGTAATTGAGATCCAGGGCCGTGCAAATTGTTAGCCCAGTAAGTCAGTAAATCAAATTTTCCTAAGGAGTCTGAATGGATTTGTAGCGGCTCCGTTAGCACTACCTTACAAATATGATAGTCGACAGTTTGTAACAGATTGAGAAGAAAGGCAAGACCGATGAAAGCGAATATAGCTCTTTTTATTTATATTTGACCACCCAAGTCCTTTTATGGCATAGTGCGTGAGTGCATGTCGAACGTCAATTTTAATCGACAATCGATGGCATTCGATCAACTCGTGAATACGCTTCACTCGTGCTCGTTTGATGAAAGTTCACTGCAGACTCCCGTTGTAAAGACTCCTACTTGAATCAAGTAAAACTTATAAGTGACTATTTCTGCAATTATGCATCACTTTACTTAATGTAACGCACAAACAGCATGCCCGAACGACTTTGGACCTGTGTTTAAGATAAAACCCAGCTCACAGCCACAACTTCATCCTTACCGCTGTTTTGTTTATTAAAAGAAACACAGACGTGTGGTTACTGGGTTAAATATTAGTGTAAAATTTCTTTACAGGAAAGGAAGTGCATGTACTAGGGTAGTTCGGTGAAAGGAAGATGCTAAATCAATTTTAATAAGGTATAAATCTTGAACAAAGTGAATCGGCTCTGAAGAGTCCGACCGAGGCAAAGCATGGTAAGTTAAAAGAAATTGTATTATGGGAATAATTAAGAAATACTTATCAAGAAGTAAATGGACGACATTTGTACATATTTCAAATAACGGAAATTAAACGCAGCTTCCTCCGAAAACCCCAATTTTTGGACTGGATTTCCTTTGAGGCCATTCAATGCTCGTTTAGCCTTTGGAATAAATTCCCTTTAAGTGAAACACGTCTAATATTCTGGCTATAAATTGCAGCATGAATTGTCGTTTTTCCATGGGAGATAGCGACCCAAAAAGATCCTATTTTGACCTATTCCATATTGCAAATTCAAGTCTAATGTAAGTGCATTGTTATTGCACATTTATGTTACATTTTCGTGGCAAAACCCGGCATGGTGTAGCTTTTCGGCTCCGAAACAATTAGTTTAATGAATGTGGTTAATGTCGAGTGGTTTGAAGTGGCACTGCTGGCGTAGACAGACGGGTTACTTCGTTAGGAATTGGTCTCAGCACAATTTATATGTAAATTAGTTTAGTTTATATAGTTATCCCAGTAAAAAGCAGAAAAGTGATCGACTGGTTGTGTTTACGATAAATCATCATCCTCAGTTTTGTGTTAAATTAGCTGTTGGTTTTTGCTAGCAGCTTTGTTTCACCGTTTATAATTTAATTTGTAGAGAATCCGAATCGACTACAATTCCGACACATTCTTAAAGTGCCAGATTTTATTGAGTGTGTCGTTACGGTTAAAAAAGCTTGCATTGTTGACGTTAAAAAACACTTTCCTTCTTCGCCAATCAGCTGTCACGCTGTCCATGTGTCTCCTTATGTTTCATTTCAGTCCTTCTTCTGATGAAGTGAAATCTGTAAATGAGCCATAAACGTTCTCGGTGCTGTGTAGATTACCGAGAAATTGCAAACGTCACCGACGACGCATCTTCACATTAGAAATATTTCCGGCTGACCTGACACCTTCATCGTCACGAGTCAGGTCTTAGATATCTTTCGATTCAATTTCGTATATCGCATTCAAGCAATAATTAAAATGTTTGTTGACATCTGCTACTGTTGCTGTAGGTTTTATTGCCTTAATCATTCACCTTTGAATTTATCTAGTGTTTTCTCTATAAATAGCCCTGTAAACCTATCACCACCATCCGACGACATTTAATTCTGATATCCTTATTCCTACCAGATGAAATAACCGGAGCATACTTGGGCATCTATTTTCAACAGCCCGGAGTCCCCTTATCATGTTCACAATTTAAGCACTTATAAAAATCGTCGACGGCCAAATCCGGAGGAATTATGTTTCGCCTGATTTCTTCTGCTCAATCAGTGGCGGGTACTTGACGTGATTTTAGAACTCAATTTATTAAATACAGTCACAGGAAATACAACTGTCCACAAGGCAGTTCATTTGGGTTGCCCTCTTCACGTTGTTTCTTTGTCACAGCAAAATCACTGGCAGTCTACTGTTGGAAGCCCCAACATGGAGTCTCTAATTAGACCGTGGCCGTCGACTTGTCGTTGGTCCTGTTTCGCTACGCAGATACCCAAGAAGACTAAGAAGATCGGATGGGACTGAAACCGTTTAGTAGATGATTATCGCACCACTGTGCATAAAGGTCGTGTCAGACTAATGCTAGCTGTTAACCAATACAGCCAGGTAACCTGGTAAAGCTGAAAGGACGAATAAACGAAAGCGGAAGCGGGACGGGCAATCACAGGTGTGAACAGACGGTCCCGCGTGGCTGACGGACGCGCCGCGAAATAGTGACGGTTTTCGAAGAATGCGGCGACCGGATGGATGGACGTAATTCAATACAATGCACCCCACACTACTTTGGAAAGGGTCCTCACTTTCGTTATACCAAGAAGTCCCTGCAACCTTACTTAATGCTGTCCTCTAAATGCTCTGACCTACACCGCTCTTCATGAGGGCGTCAAGCCACACGTGAGTAAGCCTGAAAGTTGAGACCCAACTTGGATTAATTGCACAAGCCTTTCAAAAGTCGCCGACACCAACGACAGAACCTGCTGAAGACCTTCAGATCAGGGAGTCCATGAATTCAGAACACTCTACATCTCATCCCTTCAAGTACGGTGGGATCGAGCGGACAAGTTTCGTGCTCCCAGTCTTCTCATTGTACGAGCGCGATTCTCTAGTTTGGTTATTGTGCATATTATGGAAAAACGAGCCTTCTTCGTAAATTCGGTAGCACCAAATGCGGGCGCAGACACGCTCCGAGTGACCGCAGCCCCTTCCCGGTTAATACACCTTCCGACCAAGGTAGGGATAACACGCGAACACATCGAGTGAAGCCATTCAAATTCGTCTGCATCTAGCAGTCGAACTTTGGGACCAAGTCAGCAAGCGACACACCGCCACCGAAAAGTGCAAACCAGTTTTTTTGCTATTTGGAGAATCATGCTGAGCCCATTCAAGCAGGAAGGACTTCAAACCTCTTCAAGGCTGTTTAAGAAGACATAAACATCTGATAAAACATTTATTTGCCAACTCTACCCACCCCAGTGAAAACACAAGGAGAACGTACGCGCTGTACCTTGCCATGAAAAACGTTTTGACATGGCAAAATCGATTCTTAATTAGTATATACACCGCAGCTCAGAACTTAAAGTCTTTGTACTTCTTGGCAGCAGATGGACCACCAGAACTGGTTGTGCCAGAACTCGATGCAGTCCCCTTCTGCTGTGACTCGGCTCCAGCCGGCCTTTTTCGGAGCATCTTCTCTCGTGGATCTTCAGCCTGAAAAACAGGTGTTTATTGTAAAATATGGCTACTGCGGAATAAGAAGTAGGTAAAGCAAGCGTGGAGAACAATAAAGGTATGGACGAAACTAAGGTTCAGGTATTTCTGAAATGACCACAATACGCACTCCCCAGGGCATCGTGTGGATGACATTCTCCTCTACCACCTTTAACTTAGTTCCTTCCCACGTAACTGGTAATCCGGAAGAGCCCTTTGCCTGCCACCTTGTCCGTATCCCCGAAAATCCACCGAGTTGAGTGATCGCACACCCCAGTTGACTCCTCTCCTTCACAAGCAACACCTCCAACCTCACTTTCGGCAATGCTCCTGGTTTTAGGCACGGGCGGTCTAGCTTATGCCACCGTTGTCCTGATGTACCGATTACAAATTCTAAGCATAGTTTGGTACAATAGGTGAACGTAATGTTGCAGTTACCCAAGTTAGTGGCGCAAACGTAGTTTAGAAGCCTTCAATATGGCAGGATCAGACTCTGCTGTCTTAGAAATACAGCATAGAGGCGGCTGCTGTGGTCAACAAGGACGCACGATGGAAGAAAGGTACGACTTGCATAAACCAATTCTCGTTTCCGATGAGGGCGTGGAATTTTGGCATTGTGAGGGGTTAATACACCCCGCCAACAGGGTGACGACCTTACCTCTTCGCCCCTGGGAGCTCCGGTCACCCCGGTGACGTCGTAGACTCTAGTGGAGCCGATCATGGCAGTCGGCTGGATGTTCGTCTCCTTCTCGGGCAGGACGCGGTAGAGTTGGCCCGCCGACAGACCCGTGCCCACCGCGGGTGTCTCAAGGCCACTCTGATTGTCCATGGCTTGCTCGATAGTGCGCTTGCGGAGCTCGATGTTGGCGTTCGTCATCGCCGTGGCGCTCGGAGTGTCCAGACCAACGCTAGTCGCACCGCTAGGTGTAATCAAGCTGGAAAAAGACACAAAGTAGTGGGTTTTACTCGTCGACGTTCCAAATCCTAGAAGGTTCTGTTAGAAACCAGTGGGGTAGTAATCCCGTCACCTTTTTTAAAGCATCACTCTCTCAATCAGGTACTACACCTGATCGACCGTCTACTCATTTTCGTGTTGTGTCAGTGTGTAATAACCACAGTGAAAGCCACCAAGGAAACAACGCCGTATGTAAAGCTCCTCACCTCCTCATGTAAGCACAGAACTCCAACCTGGTTTTATTTATTAAGAAGGTGGAAGAGAAGCGGACCACGGACACTTACCCAGAGGCCGGAGTGACGAGGCCACCGAGGTCAACGCTGACCTTTTCGATGGGTTGAACGATTTCAGTGGGAGGACCGGTAAGCCCGACTGCTTCTCCCTCTGCACCCTCCTCCTCATCTTCGTCCTCGTCCTCCTCTTCTGATTCCTCCTCCTCCTCGTCGTCGGATTCCAGCTCACCCCAGAGACCACTCTTGCCAAGACCTGAGATTACTGCAATTCAAAAAGGCATTTTAGACGAGACTGTGCGAATTGGGGGAGATTCGTGAGATGTGAATTTGCATTGCTACCAAACACATTAACTCTTTGTGGCTCTACCAATCCCAGTCGGGATCAAATATTTCAGCCTGATGGCTTTGCTAAACAGGGCAATCCAAAAGGCTATTTTTGCCATTCAAAAACTCCTTTGCTTTTCAACACAAGGTGCGTTTTGACCAAAATTTGCCAACAAAGAGAGGAGAACCAATGGGAATGAATAGGCTAGATAGTTGTTTTTGTAGAACGTGAATTTACATACAAACTTGGATTTCTACATTTTCATATTTTAAGAACTCTCGCTACAGGAACTTGTTCGCACACATTCTATTAGCATTTAGGCGATGAAACAGGCCACCAGTGTACTTTAAAAAGAATGCCGATCGAAGTGAGAACGCGCTAACAGGGGATACATGGTTAGAGCGCAAGCGGACAACACGACGGAGTTTACGGCTGATTCGTCAGACAATCTCGACTCCTTGTATTAAACTACGTCTATTCATAAGAATAATAGCCTAAAAATATGAGAAGCTGCAAACGCAAGCGGAGGAAATGCCTGGGCACTGTGCCCAAGCCCTCAACCCCAGAAATTTCACACACTTGGTGAGGCCTGGCACCAGACACAGGTTGCAGCTTACCCGGCTCCTCAGGTTCGGTGGGTCCGCCCGTAGGAGGTGGCGGAGGAGGAACACCGGCCATGTTGCCCCCATTACCAAACACATCTCCGTAAATCGGACGCCCCAGTTCGTCGACTGGAGGCTTACCCCAGCCACCAGGATGATAACCGAAGGCACATCCGCTGGGGATTGGCGCGTTCAGACCGGGAATTACGACGTTGGGGTAGGAGGGTGGAGGACCGTAGCGCTGCATCGCGATCAACCAAGGCGGTGGATAGCGGTCAGCATTCTGTAAAGCCGAAAGAGATTAGTGTAGTGCACAACAGCCCGGCGCATACGTCTAAGTTCGCCACCTTGTTGAAAACGAAGTCAACTAGATAGTGGAAATTTTGTTGCAAAAGGGTAATGAATGATGCAACGTAGTAGTCACGAATATCCCCACTGAATCTGCTGGGTGCAAAAAGACGAAACAGGCAGTCTCATTACTTTCGAGAAAAGAACACACGTCTTTTCACGATAAACAACATGCCCATTAAACTGGCTAGGAAGAAATTATAACTTAACGAAAGCAAGTTTTTATGTCAATGGTTATATGCTAATGCCCCATCGACTGCCTCCGCCTAAAATCACTCCGTGTACGTTACCACTCCATCCAATACTTTGACTAATCTGTTATCCCTACCTGAAGTGATTAAGACGACTAACAGACATTGTGCTCCTTGTCATTAGAAGGAACTATGCAATGAGCATAAGATGCCTAATTGATCGTCCAGATAGCTTTAAGAGCTTGATTCGACCTTGACTGGAATAGTACCAGAGTATTTGAGTAGTTGGTTACATTTTTTAATACTTCATTCCATCAGGACCAATAACGTCCAAATGAAGTTGGAGGCACAACGATGTAAAAAAATGTAATTATATTAGTTTGTTATTTCAACCTGCAAGCATAGCACAATATTTGGATGAAATCTAACCCAAACTTGCATTGACATAGGTATGTGGAAATCAGATTTTTCTCGAAAACGACTTGCTTTTTCGTGTTTTTTTTTCGGTTAAATCAACATATTCGGTACCGCATTAAGTATTATGGTTTTCTGCTCGCCACTAATTCAACCTCAAATACAACGATAAGCGCGCTTCTTCACTAACACGATTGAAGATAAAATACCGAAACCATGCACGTTTACATTACAAAGTCTCTTCTTGTTTCAATGACAAATGCTGGCTTGACGCTACAAATTCATTTCAAAAGGCAATTTCTTTCTGAGTGCATCGATTCTTCCAACTGATCGTGAAAAAAATGAAACTTTTGATCAACCAATCTGAAGGTTTCAGTAAGCAGAACCCCTAGTGTGGGTTCATTTATGTTTTATAGTAAAGTAGTAAGCTGACTTAGAACCCTAAAGCCGGAAATCAGAATCCGCAGCCACAAGATGGGTGAAAACGATGTCAGGACAAATATGCACATACCGGTCCAGTCGGTAGACCTAATGCAGTTCGTAATTCATCCGACAAATTCCCCGGCTTCTTCTCCTTCAGCTTCACCTCAAACTCCTTCCCTTCGTAATAGAGATCGCCGTGTCCTGTCAGCTTGGGTTTCGTTTGGTACTTGAAGAAAGCATCGTGTAACTTGCGGTAGTCTATGTCAACCTTTCCGATTTTTGGCCTAATCTTTTCACGCATCTTAGTTTTCAGTGATTTTTCCGCATCCTGAAGGCAAATAACAACGGCATTAGGGAAATTTTCACAGGCGGAAAATAACTTAATGATTGGGAAGAGGTATTTATAAATGTAATCTAGACAGCTAAGTGTGAAAGAACGGTTTGAGTGTAGCTGCTTAAGGCAAATCGAGTGGTCGTTACCTTGTCAGTCACGGTTTGTCGCATTTCCATAATCCCCGTTCGTGCAATAAATTCCGGGAGCCGGAAGGGAGGCTTCTCGAAGCCTCGCTTTCCTTGGAGATATTTGCGCTTCGCGCACCAATGTTTTGGAACCGGAACCGTGTTTCTGTAGGACTTCAGATATACTAGTAGAAGAGGATCTTTCGCACAAACGTCCCACATTTCAACAACATCAGGCCGAGCAGCAGCTTGCTTTAGCGATGCTACCGACGGGCGATTTAGCAACTTGAGTTTCTTTTTACTCATTGGTTGTTCTGTGCCGTCCTCTTCGTCGTCATCGTCGCGAGTCTTCCTTTCGTTCTTTTTTTCCGTCTTTTTAGCGCGCGCAGCTGCTTCCTCTGCAAGCAGGGCAGCAGTTCGGGCCTTAAGACTGGGTTGATCCGGCGTCGCTCTAGATGATTCGCCAGTATATCCAAAATCTTCGAGCTTTTCGCCTTCCATCGCATCATCGTTGCCGCCATCAGACTCTTCGAAGACAAGCTAGTATTGAAAAAATTAGCCTTGGATCTATTGGCAAACAATTATACTTAACGTTGTCACAGACATCGTTAGACATGTATGCTTGAACTTTACAAAAAACACTTTAGGAACAAAAACATTCAAACGACATATTCTTAAGAACTTTGTAGGACGTATAGTCTTTAACATCAACAAAATTATGGACTTATATATAGATAGCAAAATTTCAATGTACATTTACCAAAATCAACCAAGCATCTCGCAGAGCCTTCACAAAGGAAGTAAAAATTCTGGATCGATCAAGAAACTCAAATGTAAGAACTAATGACAAATCAATAGGGCATATGACCAGTGAATTTAAGCCATTGAAAATTACGTTTGACTGATTTTTACCTTAAAACGTTCGAAGGGACCTGTAAGTTCAAAAACGGGGTACTCCTTAACGGAGGTGACTTCGTTTTCATCCGTTGCTGCTTCAGAGGAGGACTCGGTAGACGGCAAAGAGGCAGTGGACGATTGAGCAGTATTATTAGCTTTAGCTTCCCTTTTACGCTGTTTAGATGCCTTCTTCTTCAGCTTCTTTTTCTTGTTTCTTTTTTGCTGACGAGATACGAAGATCTGACCACTACCGTCATCAGTAAAATCGGCATCCCCAGCATCTTCCTCGAGAACGGCCATATTGCTCACTTGTGTAGTTGTGTGGCGTCGGATTTGGA